CCTGACAGGAGGAGGGCATCTGAAGAGGTAAGACTTGCCAAAGTTTTATTCAAATTGTTTACGTTTTTGTCTCTAAAGTAATGTGCACAGACAGCAGTACAAAATATTTACTCACACAAGCCAAAAATGTCAAAAGTGTGACATTGCACACAAATCTGATGGATTTGTTTGAGTTGACTTTGTGTTTTGAAGCCTCAACAGTCCCACAAAGTTTGTTTACATAGTGACCGATGTAACAACGTGTGCGGCAAAATTGAAACATAGTGTTGATGGAAAAAAGTGGGGAGTATGTGTGTCTCACATAAGTTTCTGAATATTCCAACCTTGAATCAATAGCTGACTTAAAAGTTTGGAGATGCTGCAGTGTTTCTGTTAAACTGAGCAGTGTGCATTGGTTTGATGTTCACTCAACAATTTTTGTGAGTAGAGAGGAAGACAGTGGCCATGGAGCTGAAACGAAGTAACATGTCATACCTTTGTTAATTATCCTTGAAATGATCAGCTGCTATAAATAGGTCTTTACAAAGTGCAGAATATCAATCTATTGAATTTTATTCATTAGATAAATACACCATAGCACGATAGAAAACAGAACGAATGTGAAATATAACGACATTGGATTTTTGAAAGCAATTCACAATCTTTATAAAGTCAATGCAGTCCAGTTTACCCATAGATTTACCTCTGGGTGTCAGTATTACATCAGAAAACTACAGACTACACTGTCCCTCCCCTTGCAAGGCTTTTGTTTCCTACCAAACAGGACAAACGAGGTTTGGGAATCAAGCGAGACAGTCGATGGCCGCTTTGTGCTTCGCAAACATGCGAGATTCAGCGAGTAGCACATAAATTGTTTGTCAAAGTACCGGGTTCCTCTGCCTGTGTGTATTGCTGGATAACGATGGGGAACGCTACAAAAGCTCGATCGAGGAACTGCTACTGGTTTGCTTTTCATTTGGCGCTACATCTGCTTTTCGGGAAGGAGGCTTTTGCTCAGATACGTTACTCTGTTCCAGAGGAGGTGAAAGAAGGAACTGTTGTTGGAAATGTTGCGAAAGATCTGGGCCTTGACATCACCTCTTTGACTGATCGACGTTTTCGCGTTGTGTCTGGCAGTAAGGACGCATTTTTTGAGGTAAACCCGGACAATGGGGCTCTCTACGTGTATAAGAAAATCGACAGAGAGGAGCTGTGTCAAGGAAGCGGTGCGTGTCTGATGGAACTTAAAATTCTTGTTGAAAATCCTTTAGAAATGCACCATATAGTTGTAGAAATTACTGATGTAAATGACCACTCGCCGAGTTTTCCTAAAAAAGAACAAAAATTTGACATAGGGGAACAAACGTTGCCGGGAAGGAGATTTCAGCTGCACACTGCTCGTGATCCAGATGCTGGCATCAACGCTATTCGTACCTACACATTAACGTCAAATGAACATTTTGAAATAGATATCCGTCAAAGCGATGAAGATAAAATACCATTTTTAGTGCTAAAGAAGTCCTTAGATAGAGAACAAAAAAGCAAACATTCATTCGTGGTTACAGCAGTTGATGGAGGTAAACCTCCAAGATCAGGGACACTAAATGTTTCTATTATTGTTCTTGACACTAACGATAATCGGCCAATATTTACGCGGGAGGTTTACGAAATAACAATACAAGAAAACGTTCCAGTTGGCACAACAATATTTAGAATGAATGCGACGGATCCAGATGAAGATACTAATGGAGAAATTGAATACAGCCTTGGAAACACGTTAAGGCAGAATGTTTATGAGATTTTTGAATTGGATAAAATAACTGGCGAAATTATAGTAAAAGGAGTGGTGGACTTTGAAGAAAACGACGTTTATAAACTCGACGTTGAAGCATCCGATAAAGGTGCACCTCCACTGACCGGTGAGTGTAGAGTCATTATAAAGATTAAAGATGTTAATGATAATCCTCCAGAAATAGAAATTACATCACTATCAAATACAGTGTCTGAAGACTCAAAGCCTGGAACAGTTATTTCACTGCTTAGTGTTACAGACAAAGATTCTGGAGTTAATGGGAAAATAATTGTAAGCATAAGCTCAGACGGCCCCTTTGAGTTAAAGCCATCATATAAAGAAAACATATATTCAGTTGTAACTAAAGGGTTGCTGGATCGAGAGCAGGTGTCTCATTATGAAATGACAATACAAGCTACAGACTGTGGTGAGCCTCCTTTATCTACTTTTAAAACACTCAGTATTCAGATATCAGATGTGAATGACAACAGTCCACAATTCTCACAAAATCC